TGGTCGCCGCCTCCTGCAGGCCCTGCATCAGGGCCGGGGACGAACCGCAGCTGAGGTATGTGACCTTGACTAGAATCGAACCCGAGACTCATCAGTCCATGGGCTGATGCTCTGACCGCTGAGCCAAACTGGCCAGGGCTGCACTTTGTCTCTTGACTGAAATTTTTCCTTTAAGAAGACAAGAAGCGAGGTCTCACTGTCTTGCCGGTAACCCGGCCCCACAGACCTTGCTCCCCATGAGTCTCGTCCCTACTGCACTTACAAAGAAATGACTAGAGAAGAGGAAACATAGGCGTCTGCGCAAAGCCGTGAACACCACAGTTGCCTTCGGGCATAATCGTAGTGGTCACACCGGAGGCTGCTGCTGCAGCCTGGGCTGGGGTCGGGGCTCCCCCTGCCTGGCCACGCTCTGCCTACTCAGGCCAGCCAGGTCAGGGGCCGAAGCCCTGTCCAGGAGGCATCTGGTAAACATTTCTTGAGTGAAAGGCAAATAAGTAAAGGTTGATAGTGACCTGAGTGGGCCTCGGACTCCCCCTCAGTGTGTTTTGGTGAGGACCACAGGGCAGGCAGTTGCCTGTGTCGCTGTCCCCTCTGTGACACTCACAGGGTGTGCTGAGTTGTGCTGTGGGGCCGCTGTCATCGCCAAGTCCTGTCACTCAATCTTATAAGGCCACCGAAAGTCTTCAGGTGGGATGGGGGCCAGGCCCCCTCAGCTGCATGCGCAGGCAGGGAGGTTGCATCCATGACTCTGGTGGGTCCCGGTCTTACACCCCGCCTCCCAGCAGTCACCTGGCGTTTGGGGGACCATGAACGCAGGGAGGCATTCATGTTCTGCTCAGATGCCCAGCTCCCTTCCCACTACAGGTGGGGGTGAGGGTGGCCTGCTGGCTCCTTCCTGGTTTGACCAGGAGAAAGTCTCGTTGGCCAGCCCTTCCCCCAGCTGTCCGTGGATGAACACACCCCAGCTTCTCTTATCACCTGGGAGGACCCCCTAGCCCTAACTAGCAAGGACTCTTTGGGTTTGTAATCCATGCCTCAGCAATCTCTTTGTTCCTGGCCAGGCCCTAGGGAGTGAGGCGGGGCAGGTGGTCGCCCAGCAGCCTCAGAAGCATGACTCATTTCATCCTGCAGGTGGCTGTGCAGGGCCAGGAGGGTCCGCAGTTCCCCAGCCTTGCAGGTGCCTCCCTAGGAGCCGAGTGACGCTGGGGGAACCAGTTCTGCTGCTGTGGCCACACCCTGCGGCTGCTGGAGGCTTGTTTGGAGGAGGGAAAGCTGGAAATTCCTGCTTCAGGGACCCTTCAGGAGTCCAGAGGCAGCTGTGTCCCCAGAAAGGAGGGCACGTAGCAGATGCAGGCCTGATAGGAGCAAAGCCAGCCCCTTTACCAGATCCAATCGGGTTCTTCCGAGAACACTGCCGGGCAAGCAGGTCACCTTAGCTTGCATTTTCTTTCTAATTTATGGACTGAAATTTGGTGTTTATAGAAAAACTGAGCAGCGTACAAGAGTTCTCACAGATCCCCCTTCTTCCCCTTCCCAGAGTTCCCATCATTAAGATCTTTATTCCAGTCAATGAACCCAAATCAATCCATTATTAACCAAAGGCTGTAGGCTCACTCTGGTGTGGTACATGCCATGGGTCGTGACAAGCGCACATCCTGGCACACCGCGGTGCTGTCCTAGCTGTAAGACCTGGGCACAGGTGGTCTGGCCACACCACCCTGAGCCTGGGATGGGAACCAGTCCGTGTCGCCCAGAGACGGTCTCTCCCCTTTGGTCCCGAGGTCTCTGGGTGTTTTAGAAAATTAAGTTTAGTAATATTGGTTAGTAACATTGTACAAATTTCAGGTGTACAATATTATAATTTGAAGTCTGTGTATCTGTTGCATGCTCACCACCCACAGTCTAGTTTCCTTCTATCAGTGTATATTATTCCTTCTCTCTCTCTTTCTTTCTCTCTCTCTCTTCCTTTCTTTCTTCTTTCTGTTAATCCTCACCTGAGGACTTTTTTCCATTGATTTTTAGATAGAGTGGAAGGGAGGAAAAGAGAGAGAGAGAGAGAGAGAGAGAGAAGCCTCGATGTAAGAGAGACACATCGATTGGTGCACGACTCTGACCAGGGCCAGGGATCACACCTGCAATGCAGGTACGTGCCCTCGACTGGGAGTTGAACCCAAGACCCTTCAGTGGGCAGCCTGACGCTCTAAGTGCGGAGCCACACCGGCCAAGCTTGTTACCATATACTTTACCCTTTGCCCAGCTCACTCCTTGCCCTCTGGTAACCACCACTCTGTTGTCTGTGTCTAGGAGTTTGTTTTGTTGTCTTGCTTGCTACGTTTTTGTTTTATATCCCACACATGAGTGAAATCACATGCGTTTGTACTTACTTTACTTAGTGTGATGCCTTCCAGGGCCATCTGGGTTGCCAGCACCCCGAGCAGGTCACTCAGGCCAGTAGCACTCAGTCTCTGCACGTGTACCATGGGGGTGTCCTAAAGCTGTCCCTCTTCCCCGTGTGAAGCCACAGGCCCTCAGGGACAGCCGGGCCAGGGGGCTGCGTGTCGGGAGACCGCTCGCAGGCTCAGAGGTGCTGCGGGTTCCAGGTGGTGGTCTCACTCTGCCATTTCTACTTCTGCACCCTGGTGCTTGCAGTGAGGAGGGGGACAGGGGATACACATCCCAAATGGGGTGTGGGGAGGGATGCAGCAGCCCCCTACCCCCCGCAAGCCCAGCCTCCAAGCTGAGCTTGGGTCTCAGGGTGACATCACTGTTTGTGACTGGGCAGTGTTACGCCGGCTTCGGCTGGGTGGGTGGACCTGCTCAGTTCCAGGGCTGCTCCAAAGAGATCCTTCACCTGTAACCACTTTCAAGAGCAGCCCCTCCTTGCCGCGCACTCCTGCGGGTGCGGCTCCCTGTCCCAGCTGTTTGGGCCCTGCAGCCCCTCAAGGGTGTGATCATTCTGACCCCATCAGACTCCAAACCTCTAACCATAGCACAGAGGTGCACTTGGCAAATGAGCAGGAGCAGGAAGCCACTCCCCCCCCCCCCCCCCACACACACACACCACACCCTGCAGGTCCTTTGAAATTCCTCCTGAAATGTATCTTGGCTGGAGAAGGACCTTGCTAAAACAAGGTCCGGTTTCTCCCCCACTGGATGCTGTTGGAGGCTCTGGAGCCCAGATCAACACCAGAGAGTCTGAGGGGGCAGAAAAGCCTGCTTGTGGGATCACGGGGGTGGTGCCTGGAGGGCCCACCTCCCTTCCCCTGCCCCTGGGAGCCCCTCACCCCTTCCAGAGGCGGTGGGGCCTCTCCCACCCCCGCCCAGCTTTCTGGCGTCAGCGCTTCCTACAGGGGCTGGGGTTGCATGTCTCCCCCACCAGATGCCAGGCACACGCTGGCCCTAGTGACCGCCTGGTAAGGAGCCTGCCCTCAGGGAGATGGACTCACCATGCTGGGCCTCCTAGCACAGGCCTCACTGGGAGATTCCGCACCCAGGAGGGGCTTCCGGCACTATCTGGAGAGTCTGAGTTGTGGAACCTGAGGGGCAGGCTGGGGAACGTTCCTGACATCTGGAGCAGCGGTTTTCAACCGGTGATGCAAGAAATGTAAAAACATGCAGTGAGTACCTGGCTGTGTAGTCAGGGGCACTGACCCTTTTCCCTTAGATCGTCAAATTAAAAAACGACAGCCAACACAACAGCCGTTGAGTGTGAATGAATCAAAATCACACCTGTTTTGGCCCTGGCCAGTTTGCTCAGTGGTTAGAGAGTAGGCCTGCGGTCTGGAGAGACCTGGGTTCGGTTCCGCTAAGGGCGCAAACCTCGGTTGCAGTTTGTCCCCGGCCCTGGTTGAGTCGTGTGGGTGGCAGCCACTCGATGTGTCCCTTTCACGTGGATGTCTCTCTCTCTCTCTCCCCCTCCCACTCTATCTGAACAAAATATCGAAAAATGTCCTCGAGTGAGGATAAAAGAAAAAAAATTATACCTATCTTGTGTTTTTTTTTTGTCAGATCGCCGCAGAATTTTATAATTAGTTTATGTGCCACCAGATGAAACAGGTTGAAAATCGCTGATCTAGATAGAGTCTAGGGGCCAGGACCCCGCCAAGTCCTCCAGTGCAGAAGACGTACCATTCCCCCCCCCCCAAGAATCGCGTGGGAATTTGGTGAAGCAGATGCTCGACCCACGAGTGGAGACTGCGAGGGACCAGCGGGCAGTGCCCACAGTGCCCACAGGAGCCGTGGCCTCGGGGCCAGCAAACCCACAGACTTTCTGCGGAGTGCGCCCTGGAGTCCACGCATGCTCAGCGGTGAGTCTGCCACATCTCCAGCCACAGCTGGGCTCCCCTCCCCCACAGGCCCCAGACCGGGATGGAGTCTGAACTCCACAAGTGCACTCAAATGTTCGGAGGGCTGGGTGCCCGGAACAGCCCTGATGGGCCCCACGGCCAGGCGCCCCCACCACAGCCCAGCGGCCGGTCCGGGCTCAGTCTGCACGATGAGGCCGTGGCACCGCCAGCGCGTGACCAGTGCGGGCCAGGTGCTGGGCGGGGGTCTGCACATACTTGGGGTCTCGGGTTTCCACCCCGCGCCCCCTCGCACAGGCCAAGGTCCCGCTGCCTCCGCCTACTTTCTCTCTGGGACCCTTCTTTCGTCCCGCACCCCCTCCTATCCGTGGTGCCCCAACCGGTCCCACCCCCGGGACCACGCGGTCCCGGTGCTGGGTGCCCGCGACTCGCAACCCGCCCCGGTCTCCACTGTGCCCCGCTCGGGTGAGCCGGGCCCCACTGCGGGCGGGCGCGGAGCTCCTAGCGGCTCGCGGGGCGGGGTTCCGGCGCTGGGCGGCCCGCGGGGCGGAGCGGACGGGCGGGCACCGCCTCCCAGCTGAGCCGGGCCGCGGGCTGCTGACTCGCCGACTTCAGAGCTCGGGTGGCGGCGGCGGGTACGGAGTTCCGCGCTGCTCCAGAGGCTCCGGCAGCTCCAGCGGCCGCGATGGGCTGGCGGCCGCGCCGGGTGCGCGGGGAGTGCGCGACGTGACCCGCCTGGACTCGGAGCCCGGCCGCGCGAGTCGAGGGTTTGCTCGGTGGGCGCGCACGCCGGGCCAGCGCCAAGCGGGAGCCAGAGCATGCGGGGCACGGCGCGGGAGGCCGGGGGGCGCGCGGGTCCGCTGTGGCCACGGCCCCCCGCCCTGGGCCCCGGCCCGCCGCCGCCGCCGCCGCTGCTGTCGCTGGCGGTGCTGCTGGCCGTGCTGCTGGGCGGCGCGGGCGCGCAGTACTCGAGCGACCTGTGCAGCTGGAAGGGGAGGTGAGTCCGCGCAGCGCGACCCCGGCCCTGGGTCCGCGCCCTCCCCTCCTTCCTCTCCCCGGGGGCAGAGCGTGCCGGGGCTCGGGGGTCCCCTCTCCAGGCAGAACAGAGCGCCATCCCCCAAACCTCCGCCCCCGGTACTAGAACAAAAGAGCCCGCGGCGTCCGGGTCCCCCAGCCGGGAGGGCGCCCGGGGGAGGCGCGCCTGCTGCGCTGCGGGTCTGCCCCCGCAGGGTAGTCTGCTCGCCCCGCACCCGGCCTCGCCGGTCCCCACTCTCTTACCAAGAGCCTTGGCCGCCGACCCTGCGGGCGAGGATCCGTCCTCCGGCTCTTCCCGGCCCCTGCCCCCTTCCAGAAGGTGCGCGCCACGGGCCGGGCGGAGCCGGGCCTGCGCTCAGGACCGGGCGGGAAGGGACAGCCGGGTCCGTGGGAGGGGGCGGCGGCGGGGGTGGACCGGGCGAAGCTCTGGCGCTGACGGCGGCGCTGAGCGCGTGTGTGTGGACGGAGACCTCTGCGCGGGTCCGAGTGCCGACCTGGCCGAGCCCCCCGCCCTCGCCCCGTGAAGGTCAGGCCGCCCTTGGCAGCGCGCGCGCCGGGCTGGACGACCCCCCTTCACGCCCCTCCGCCGTGGCAGCCGAGGACTTTTTTAAAAAAACTGAAGTGTGACAAGCAGAAAGGAGTGCACGCCACAAGTGTGCGCGGGCGGGGTGCCTGAGGGCACAGCTACTCGGGTCGAGAAACCACCGTCCCCAAGGCGCCCTGGGCTGCGCTGGCAGCTGCGGTCGCGAAGCCAGGCTTGCGCCGCGGAAGTTGCCGATTCAGGAGTTTGCTTGGGGCGCTGCGAATCTCCTCCGAGCGCGCTGTGGGCTGGGCAGCCCGGGTCTGGGTGTCGGGGTGGAGCCGGGCCCCCGGGCAAGCCCCCGGCCTTGTCTGATGGGAGGACCACGCTGCAGACACCTCACGGTGGGGGCGGGGTGTCACGGGATTATTTTGAGTGAAGATGGTTTTCCGAGAAGGTTGGGTTGTGCCGGTGCATCGGGCTCTGCGTCAGCCGGGCAGCCGCTGGTCATTGTGGCGCTTACAGACTGGTTCTCTGTGGACACTGACAACTGTTCGACTCCCTCCACCCCTCTTTCCAGCTATCCTAGAGCGAAGGTCCCGGAAGGTACTGGGACCCCGAGGTCCTCCGCCGCCCCCCCCCCCCCCCCAGCAGAGCTGGGATGGAAGAGCTGGGCCTGGACCCAGAACGGAGGGGCAAGTCGGCCACTGGGGGAGGGGAGGGCTGGCCTGGAGAACGCTGGCGCCAGCACTGAGCTGGCTGGGAGCCTCCGACTGACACCCTCCGCCGGGGCTGCCCTTCCCCGGGCAGTGATCAAACTCCGGCTTTGAGCCTCTGCTGAATGAATCAGGGCACTCCCGAACTGGGGCCTTGGGGTGTCCTGCCTCAGTAGATCGAAAGCAGTCACAAAGCCTCACCTTGTGAGCCTGAGTTTCCATAGGAGGAACTAACACCCTTTCCAGGTTCACAGAGCCCAGAGGCGGCTGTGAGTGTGGGCTGGTCAGGGGCCAACCCGCTCCTGGACCCAGCAGGTGCTTGCAGTGGGAAGGGGAGTCCCTCCACCTTCCCTGTCCTGTGCATCCTTCTTCTGCCTGCAGCCCCTTTCCCTCCACCCTTGCTAATGGACCTGGGTGCTGACTCCCCCCAGTTCCTCCGCTGAGGCCAAAGGCAGAGGTTCTGCAAAGCCGTGGGGCGGGATCTGGAGAGAAGCTGGCCAGGCCGCATTCCTGGGGTATAAGCCCAGTGGAGCTGTGGTTGCTGCCCCCAGTGATCAATACTCTGCTTGCTGAGGAGCTGGGCTGTGCTGGTTTGCCTGCCGACTGTAGCCTTTGTGACTGTTCTGGAGAGACAGCTCAGGGTGGTGCTCGCCTGATATGCGGGTGGATTCTGACCCGTGATAGGGAGGGAGTTGCTTTATGACACTGGCCACTCACAGCTGACAGGCTGAAATGTGTTTCTGGGTGTTTCCAAGCCGTTAAGTAGGTGTTTTTCTTAATTTTTGTTTAGTTTTACTTGATTTTTAGAGAGAGAGAAACATCCATTTGTTGTTCCACTTATTTATGCATTCATCGGTTGATTTTTGTATGAACCTGAAACTTGGGTGTATGAGGACAACACTAACCCACTGCTAAGTGGGCGGTTTTGAAGCCCATCACCCTTGTTCATGGACAGGACAGTCTCATCCTCATTGGGCAGTAGTCATAAAGGTGGACCACTGCTCTGGGCAGGGCACTGTAGGCATGTCACACCTGGGCTGTCTCTTCTGCCTTGGGCTTGGCCTGAAACTGTTCCTGACTCAGTAAACAAGAGACGCGATTTCCTTCTGGTGACTCACAGAGTTTGAGCCAGGCTGGGGGTGAGTGCTGTGGGCTCTACTGCCACCACACCAACGGACCCCTTCAGGATGTCCCCTTCTCAACTGGGGTGTGCCGTCTTTTCCATTAAGGTGTCCCACAGGTGTGTCCATCTGGGCAGTGACACTGCCAACTCTTTTTTTTTTTTTTAAAGAAAAGTGCATTAACTGTTTAAATAATCCAAGAGCAAACCAGTCTTCTCATTCCCAAAGGCTGACCAGGACCACAGATTTCTCTGCGTCCTGCTCTTCATCATCAGAGAACAGTTGCTTTTTTCTTGACCTGGTTGGCAGGTCACTTGTGTGTCTGTGAGTATTGTAGCGCCCCGTCTCCAATGACCACTTGGGCACGGTGCACTTTTGCACCTCCAGCCATTTCACATAAATAGAAGTTTTTTTCACGTTGGCTGGATGCTGGAAGCTTAGTGGTGGGCGATGTGGTGCAGTTTTCTGGCAGGAACCACACTGTCCAGGAGTCCTCAGCCTCATTCAAGGAGCCAGGGTGTCCCGGGCAGAGACTGGGGACTGGTAGCTGTTTGTCCGATGGGGATCGTGCATGCTGCACAGTGACCGACATCGGTGTGAATGTTCTTGAGTGCCTGGTGGGTCCCTGGTGGTCTTGGGGCTCCAGTGAGCTTGGCAGAGCCTCGCCTGCGGGTGATGGGTGCAGAGCCGCCTCCGGGGGTCAGTGAGGGTGCTAGTCACAGGGTGAAGTAACAGGAGCCTTATTTCTTGTATGTCCTCCTTCATTTTGTTCCTAGTCCTCTTTAGGTTGATTGGCTTATGAATCATGAGAGCCAGGTGCACCCCATAAGGTATACAGGGTCATACATGCAGGCTGGGGGTCGGCAGCCCCCAGACTGAGGTCTGCCTTCCCCTGAGCAACCCCACAAGGGTTTCCTCTGCCCCTGTGGATGGAGGGTGGCCCTCCCTGTTTCCACCTCCATGGTTTGGATTAAGGTGACTTGGTGAGGGATCCAAAGCCTCTGGTGTGGGTGCTTCACTCCCTGACCCCCAGGGCCCTCCTTGCCCCACTGAGAGAGAAGTGAAGTCTTGGACAGAATGGTTTATGTGGGAGAGAATTGAGAATTGGTGTCTGGGCATGAGACAAGTGTCCAGCTGCCCCTTGAGGTTGCAGACTGGAGAGGAGGGACACTCTGATAAAGTTTGTTTTGGCTGCATAAGAGCAGAGCTGATTATAATGATCTGTGGCAACCACTCACCATTTAGTCTAATTTTTCACACAGCACTATAATTATGCCCATCCCCACATATGTGTCACATGAGCTTGTATAAGTTTTATTTGGCTGTAATTGTAAGTCTGTTCCATGTGTGCAGCCCTGGTAGGCGTCTGAGGCTGGGCTGGTTGCTCATGACCCAGGGTGTGTGGGGTGGAGAGCAGGGTTAGGAGGGTTCACCTCCTTGACACCTCCCTCTGATGTGGTCTGCAGGATGACTCTGCAGCCCCAGCCTGCAGCTGGCCATCATATGAAAAGTGAGGTTTTTCGGAGCGCAGAGCATGAGTCACCAACAGTAAATGCAGACCATATGTTCTGTGTTTTCCCCTCTGCAGAAAGCGTTTCTGGTAACACACTCAGGCCAGGGCTCTGAGTATAGCTTTGTTTATTCCACGTAAAAATCCCAAGAATGTGGTTGAACCTGTCTGAGAGCTGATCAGAACCAAATTTCATGTAATAAAACACTTAGTTGAAGTCACTGGTTGAGTTCCAGGGCTGCTTGGTGGTTATGACGTAACCGTTTGCACAAGCTGACATTGACATTAAAATTTGGAGTAGGGGAAAGAAACTGCAACAGTTTTGATGGTTTAAATCTCTTAAAAACATAATGTAATGACTTTACTCAAGACGTGTCTTGCCGAGATTGTAGCACACTTTATTTAGCATTGATTAGGAGTGGAGTCAACTTGGCTCTCTAGAAATTCCCGCTGGAGAGACGAGGTATCTGCTAACCTTTGTCTTCTCCAAAATGTCCCTCTCATGTTTGTCCCCTAGGGAGGACCTTTCTCTTACTTTCAAATCTTTGATGACATATGAACCTATTAAAAAGTATGTTCATCAGTGGAGGGTCTTCAGGTTTGCACGTGAATGAGAAGGCAGTCAACTAGTCACCAGAAAAAATATACAAGACTGATGTCTGATAGGGAGGTGCTACAAGAAAAGGAGCTGAGACCTCCAGCCACCAAGTGGCTGACATCCCTCACTGATTCCTAAGCTGCTCTCTGCAGCGGTTTGCGAGTCCGTGTGCATCCCTGGTATTGGCGTCACCTCAGTGTGCTCCTGTCCTCGCTCCGTGGGCACCACATCACTTCCCAGCCCTTGCTTGGTCAGCTGGAATCTGGGCTGGTGCCAAAGTCCTGGTGTTTCCTTGATTATATTTTGGAAGATCCATCCTTTCCTTGGTTCTCACCTGCACTGCACCCTTGCCTCCCCAACTCAGGGAAACCCCGAGGATGGGGGCACCTGCTGCTGGAGCCTAGCAGGCAGCAGACACTGAGCATCCAGGTGTGGGGAGGGTCCGACAGCTAAATTCAAGTTGCACTTAGCGGAGTGCTGGCTGCCCTTCCCTGGGTGGCCAGTGCTGCAGGGCAGAGGTGGTGCTGGCCTGCCCACTGGTGATCGGGGTGGGGCCCCCCCACTAATGCTGTCTCTCCCCCACAGCGGGCTGACACACGAGGCCCACAGGAAAGAGGTGGAGCAGGTGTACCTGCGCTGCTCCACGGGCGCCGTGGAGTGGATGTACCCAACCGGGGCGCTCAGCGTCAACCTGCGGCCCAACATCTTCTCGCCCTCCCGACACCTGACTCTGTGCATCAAGCCCCTCAGGGCCTCCTCGGGGGCCAATATTTATTTGGAAAAAACTGGAGCGCTGAAACTGCTGTTTCGGGACGGGGACCACGGACCGGGCCAGGTGCGCTGCTTCGGTTTCGAGCAGGGTGGCCTGTTCGTGGAGGCGACGCCCCAGCAGGACATCAGCAGGAGGACCACGGGCTTCCAGTATGAGCTGAGCAGCCGGCATGCTGGGTCGGACCTGCACGCTCTGTCAGGTGAGTGATGCCCCGGGCTGGCGGGGTGGCTCCCTGGCCACGCCCCTCCTGAAGCCCTGGTCTTCTCTGTTTGCTCGACTTCTCTGATTCCCCTCCCCCCTCAGCACAGCCTCTGCTGATGCTCCTCAGGTGTGTGCCTCGGACCTGGTGGGGCTGCCCAGGTAGTCCCAGGGGCGGCTGAGGGGGACCACGGTGCCCTCCTCCGGGGGGCACCTCTGTGGTGTAGTGGGTATTGGATGCCAGGCGTATTGTTAGCATTCCGGAAAGTTCTTATTTGGACTTTGCAAAACATTCACCTCCCAGGAGTGTGTGCAGAGGGCAGCAAGCCCCCGAGGATGGCCATAGGTCAGGCCTGTGACAGGCCCTCACTCCTGACATGCTCGTCTTTCACGGACTAGTTCCGACGGATTCGAAGTGGGTGCTGCTGCCATTCCAAGTACCCAGCACTTCTCTGACACACGAAGTGGCCGAGTGTTTGTCACTGGTTGCAGCCCCCGGAACGTCCAGTGTTGGGTGGAAACAGGCTGATCCACGTCCCAGGTGCAAAGCCGTGAGGTCCCAAGTCCTGGGCCAGTCCTGGGCTTGGAGGCATTTTGCTGGTGGGTGTTGGTAAGGGGCCTCAGGTGTGAAGACTCCAGCAATGTGGGCGCAGTGGGTGCCCAAGCAGGGCAGGAGCCCCCTGCTGCTGGGCCTTCCTGAAGGAGCTGTGATCCTCTGGGAACCTGGGGTGGGCTGCAGGGGTCTCTTGGTGGCCGAGGGATGTGTACACAGGGCGGGTGGTGAGCTGGCTTCAGATTCCATTCCGTTTTCTCTGGAGGAAAGGGGACAGCTTTGCACGACGCTGGTGGAGGCAGGGTTGGTCTTCAAAGTTTCCTGGGCAGAGACTGAGGAGGAGCCTTAGGCCAGGCCTGGGTCTCTCTGAGGCCCAGATGACCACACGTGTCCGGGTGTGTGTGGGCCGGGCCATGGGGCTCTGGTTGCACTATCAGCGTCGATTCGACACACGGTGCCTTCTGGTGTTCATGTTGAGGTTGGGCTGTCCGGGGAGCAGCTCCAGGAAGGCTGTTCTCTCGGAAACCAACGGGGACGATGGTCAGGTGGGGTGCCCTGGCATTGCCAGGGGGGGCCCAGGCACGGATGCTGCTCACACTCACAGTGACAGGATGCCCCACCATGGAGTAAACGACCCCGATGTTGGCACAGGGTGCCCTCCACGGCAATGACCTACCCAGTGGAACCCCCTGGTTTGAGGGGTTGCCACCCCCAAGATCAGAATAATCTCCACATTTCAGATTTGACTGAGGACAACCAGACCTGCTAGGCTTTGAACTGCAGAATTTCCTCCTGAACGTGAACTCACATTTTACTGTGCAGTGTGCTCGGCTCAGATTAGTGTTCAACACTTTAAATCTCACTCAAACCAAAGTGCTCTGTTACAGAGCTTATGTAGGACTGTTTGGGTAGGACCCCTCCCCCGGAACTGACTGCCCAGGTAGGACCCCTCCCCCAGAGCCAACTGCCCAGGTAGGACCCCTCCCCCAGAGCTGACTGCCCAGGTGGGACCCCTCCCCGAGAGCTGACTGCCCAGGTAGGACCCCTCCCCCAGAGCCAACTGCCCAGGTAGGACCCCTCCCCCAGAGCTGACTGCCCAGGTAGGACCCCTCCCCCAGAGCCAACTGCCCAGGTAGGACCCCTCCCCCAGAGCTGACTGCCCAGGTAGGACCCCTCCCCCAGAGCCAACTGCCCAGGTGGGAAGGTAGCCCTGAAAGCTGATGTAAAGCCCAGGACCTGAATCAGATTTTAACCCTCACAGCCTTTGTGTGGATCACAGTGAGGAGCTGGAGGGAGCCCTGGGGAGGGAGCCCCAGCCTTGCTCTGCGGGCCCTGGAGCTGAACTGGAAACGCACCAGGAGAAACCCAGCCACTAGGCCCAGGTTGCTGACTGAGCGGATGTCAGGAATTTGTTCACATTCCTTTACTGACTGGATGTTGACTGGTCCTAGGACATGCGGCTGCTGGTTACATGTCCTCCTGGCTGTCCCCTCACCCTGTGCTCCTGCAGGCTGAGGGCGTAGGTCTTACGGCCGCGCACACCTGAAGGCTCTCAGCGCCCAGGCTGGAGACCCGGGGACGGCAGCCCGGGGCCGGTGCTCAGGTTGTCTTCACCTCCCAGGGCAGGGCCTGTGCCCCAGCCCGAGCCCATGTCTCCAGGCCCGGCCAGTGAGTGGGCTCGGGGGCTGCCTCGGGTTCCTGTGGGGTGGCAGGCAGGAGGGCCTGAGTGGGGGGCGGGTCGCCAGTCACCGCCTTGGCTCATGCCCCCTGCACCTCCCACACTGGCCGAGTGGCCGAGGCTGGACGTCGAGCTGGCTGGGTGGCCAGGCTTCTGTGAGGGGAGTGTCAGGCCCACCTGGCCCTGGGATGTCCGCTTGAATCCAAGCCCTCAGGGCTAGGGCACCCTGCACATGGCGGATGTGTGTCTGTCTGCCAAGGGACTGGCATCTGGGGCCGCAACTGTCAGAACTGGGTGGGGGGGACTCAGGCACCCAGGGCTTTGGGAGCTGGGACCACAGGGTGATGAGGGGCAGCAGGGGACTGGGGGAGGTCGGTGCATCCCTTGTCCCTGGGTGTTGGCCTTTCATCAGGCCATGGGCCCCAAGCCCTTAACGCTGGAGGAACGGGTGTGGGATGTGGGATGTGGGCACAGGCAGGGGTGGTTCCCCGGCCCAAGGCTCTCAGGAGAGGGCGTGGCTCCAGCTGCGTCCTGTCAGGTCCCGGCTGCCACTGCCTGGCCCCAGTGACACCGAGCCCATCGCTGTGACAGGAGGTGAGCACCTGCCTCAACTCCCCTCACGGGCCACAAGTACTCCTTCGTGCTGGCTGGAGAGAAGGAGGCTCGGCCTGGAGCCCTGGTCGGACGGTGTGGGAGCTGAGCGGCCCCTGCCGCTCCGGACCCTCTGCCGGACGTGTCTGCAGCCAGCCTGCTGGCCTCGGGAAACCGAGACACGACCAACAGCCAAGAATGGGGCCTGCGGTGGTGGGAGGTGACCCCAGCCCAGGGGGTGTGGAATCTGGCCTCCACATGGCGGGGGGCCAGGGTCTGCTCCCTGTGTCTCTCTCTGCCTCTGTGGGCCTCGCCAGGGCACCCCTTTTGTGTGCTGAAAGGCGGGAGCGACCAGACGCAGCTCAGTGGTGGATGAACCTCCAGCCATGCTGAGGCCTCGTGCTGGAAACCTGGCCTGGCTGTCGGGGACTCTCCTCCCTGGCAAACGGCACCACCAGGATCCCCAATCACCCAGTGGGCTGGTGGACGTGTGGGGGTGACCAGCAAGGGAGCGTGGGGGTCACTCCGCCTGGCCCTGGAGAACAAGGACCCCACGTCCTCGGTTCGCCTGGGGCAGCCAGGTGGGCCCTGGATTCCGGTCTGTTCTTTTACTACTCGGGGGCTGAGTAGCAGGGGCACATCCACGCGCTGGGCTCCGGGGGTGGCCACCCACAGCATCCCTGTGAGCAGGTAACGGGTGAACACAGGCGAAGCTCAGACGCACAGATGGAAGGGCCCTGGTGCTGGCCGTGAACACGCTGAAATCGCTCTCAGCTCAGGATCTAGGGGCCCCTGAGGTGGTGGGTGGCCTGCATGCCCACGTCTGCTGGCTTCACCTCTCACCCTTCGAACCCCTCTGTTTAAGGAGCTAGGGGTGGTCCTAGTGGGTGCAGAGCCTTCCGGCATCTCAGAATTTGAGGGTGGCCTTGATGGCCATAAGGGGTGAGTAGCAAAGTTCAGAGGGAGGGAGAAGAAACCTCAGTATTTTCTGGAAACAGAAAAGGAGAGAACTTCATATTTTTGCAAGGATCGTTTATTTCCTGTGCCAGTGGGTTCTCTGGCCTCTGCGATTACTGTGTAATTATTCTCCACCTCACCATTTTGGAGTGGAAGGGTGTGGCCTTCCTGGTGAGGAAGAGGTCAGAAGGGCAGCAGGACAGGAGGAGACGCTGCTGACCAGCTGGGACATGTCCTGGCAGGTCGTCTGGGGCCTGGAGTTCTGGGCCAGTGCTGAGGTCATGGTGGTCGTTGGACGCGCTCCAGGACCCTAACTAGCAGCTCCCGCTCGGTCTCAGCGAACACCAGCCACGTGCCGGCCACACTCACACTGGCTTCTCCCTTCTCCACTCCCTGAGAGCACACTGCCTCAGCCACCGGTTGCCAGCTGACCCCGGTGGGTGTCCTCCTTTATGGACATTGTGTGTCCACCTGGCCGTCCTCACAGGCAGTCAGGGCCAGCGTCCATCTGACTATTGGCAAACCTCTCAGGTGGCAAGGTCCCGACAGAGGGCACCTGCCCACTCTCTCCTGCACCTGCCGGCCTTACCTGGGTCCTGTGTGGTCCCTGGCCCATCTCCCTGACCCTGTTATTTTTCTTCTTCGTTCATGCCATTTTGTGCACATTCCAGAGTAATCTTCCGGGGACGTCCACACCCCCGCCCTCCCCTCTCCACGAGACATGGGCCGGAATTCCAACCAGCCTGTGGCCCACCCCTCCCCGTCTCCCTGCAAGGAAACGAGATTGGATGCGTCTGAAACCAGTGCATTCCACAGCCTTTACGAGCCCGACTCCGATTAATAATTGTTTCCAGATTGCGTCTCTTGGCGTCCACAGACTGGATTTTCCACAAAGGTGACCTACGCTTTGTAAAGCTCAGAATTATAAGAGGGAAGTCTCCAAGGTGGCACTTCATTGACTTAGCTGTCAATGGTACCGGCTCACCGAGGCTTCTGGTGGGTGTCTACAGGCTGCTGGCCGCCTTCCCACAGGGCCACCTGGGCCCCCATACCTCTGCAGAGGGGCTGTGAGTGAGGCAGGGCAGGGTGCCTGGGACGGCCGGTCTCCACCTCTGTCCTCAGCTCTCAGCCATGGTCCCAGGGCCCATGACCCTCAGAGAGGGTACGGCTCTAGGCTGGGTCACATGCCCCCAGGGCTGGGGTCTGATCACAGCGTGTGGCCTGGGCCTGTTGGCCCCCGACTGCTGCGGGTGGTGCTCCCTGACCCGTCAGCTGGAGAGCTGCGCAGACCGTCACCTGCCACCCACCCGAGATTAACCCACTGCACATCTGGTCCCCGAGGGAGCCTGAGGGTGGGCTCTGGTCACCGTGGGCTTGACTCACTGACCTGCCTTCTCGTGGGGACAGCTGCTGAGGCCTCCCCCCACCTGCAGAGGGACCCCAGGCTGGGACCTCTGATCCCGAGGGCACTGGGGATGCTGGCCAGGACGGGAAGTTACCTCTGCTCTGAGGCCCTCGCTCACAGGTCAGAATAAAACCAGGGGGCACGAGCCCCTCGAAGCCCGCCGTGCCATGTGCCCTGCGTCGTCATGGCAGCAGGTCCCCAGTGGGTAAGAGGGATTTGGATTCCTTTTTTTTAAATCCTCACCTGACGATATGTTTTGATTGATTTTCGAGAGAGAGGACAGGAGAGAAAGACAAACATCCTTGTGAGAGAAACATCAGTCGGTTGCCTCCCATATGTACCTCCACCAGGTAGACTGGGAATCAAACCTGCAACCTTTTGGTGTAGGGGACGGTGCTCCAACTAACTGAGCCACCCTGCCAGGGCTTGCCGCCCTCTTTTTAAAGGGAGGATTTGCGCTCTGGCCGGTTTGGCTCAGCGGTTAGAGCGCCGGCCTGCGGTCCAGAGAGGCCCGGGTTTGGTTCCCACTAAGGGCATGTACCTCGGTTGCAGTTTGTCCCCGGCCCTGGTTGATCGTGCGGGTGGCAGCCACTCGATGTGTCCCTTTCACGTCAATGTTTCTCTCTCTCTCTGTTCCTCTCTCTCCCTCCCACTCTACTTGAACAAAAAATAGAAAAATGTCCTCAGGTGAGGATTAAAAAAGAGAGAGAGGATTCAAGGCTGGGGATTCACCCGTGCAAACAAAGCCTTGGGATTCGGAGCTGGGTGGAGGGCAGCTGCTCCGTGGACGGGCTGGACTGGGCCACCGACGCCTCCAGCAGGCTGGTCTTGTTCTGTAGCTGCTGCTTTTCCAGGTAACTTAATAGTAGCCCAGGCAGTGGGTGGGCCCATGAGTCAGGCCTCGATGAGCCGGACTGGGTCGTGGCAGCCACCCTGCCTGGGGGCAGGACGATGGCACCAGCGCTCTGGACACTCACATCCACCCCCAGGCGTCCCAGAGACCCTGCTCGCGGGCCCCATGGTCCATGCACGTTCTGTGCTGCTGCTTGTCTGTGCTTGCTGGATCCCCCGCCCCGAGGCCCCCAAGTCACTGCTGCTCCTGGGGAGGGGGTGAGTCTGGCAGCCCCTGGGCAGGTGACTGCTCCACCCTGGTCGGAACTCTGAGGGTGGCCAGCCAGGCCCAGGGTCCAGGCCCAGTGAGTGCCGAGGTTGGGGACATTCTGGAGCCTTGAGAACATGAACAGGTCACGGGGAAGCTTATCCCAGTGAGATCTCATACGTGAAGTTTCTCTGGAGTTAGGAGAATTTGTTCCAAAACTTAGAAACTAGAGGTCGGTGAGGGAGAGGCCGTGAAATGTGCAGCAGAGTCAAGCAGCACATCGTATTTCCCAAGCCCACTGCTGGGTGGAGGAGTGCCTGGCCCTTGGGGGGGTCACCAGAGCCCCGGGTCTCTGCCTCCCCCCACCCCGCACCTTTCTGAGACCTCGCGCCCACCTGAGGCAGGAGTGTTAAGGGCTGTTTGACTGGGCGAAGCCAGCCCCACCCAGCTGGGGGGTCTCAGGGGGGATTCTGTGGCTGGGCTAGCTCTGAAAGGCGTCTGGAGGTTTTTTGAGGTGGTCACCTGGTCCCAAGGCCAGGCGGGGTCTGGGGAAGGGGCCTTAGGAAGGTCCCAGGGCTGCAGCAGGTGAACACACCCTTCATGGTTCACTGATGCCTTTAGAGTTGCAGCCTCGTGGGTCCTTCTGGGCAGAGCCTTGACCCCCTGTGGAATCGAGGCCGTGGTGGGACGCGGGGCGGCAGGCGGTGTGCGAGCGGGCAGCACTGGCGTCTCGGGGTGGATGCAGAGGCAGAGCGTCGGTAGCTCTGGGTCAGGCTGGTGTGAGGGGCAGGGCTTTGCTCAGCTCCGGCTGGTTTGTGTTGATGGGCACGGAAGAGTGATTTCATGCGAGTCCAGTAGTTGCTTGTGGGGTACAGCACTGACCAGCTAAGAGGACAGGTCCATCCTGTACCATGCGGTGGCTTGGGGTCCCCTGCCGTCAGCCCCCAGCCTGCACACTGGCGGTGCATTGGCTCTGGTGCCTGGGTGGGAGAGGCGCAGGGGCATGCCCACGGGGTGCCGGCAGCTGTGCCGTGGTAGGTTCTTGCCCACGGCCCTCCTGACACCCCTCCCTGCTGTCTCCTTGCAGCCCCATGCCGCCCCTGCAGCGACACAGAGGTGCTCCTGGCAGTCTGCACCAGTGACTTCGGTGAGTGCCCACGGTTCCTGCCACGGGGAGGGCGCCACACCTGGCCCAGAGGACCTTTCGGCTGTGGAGACACTGGCCCCGGTGCCCCTGTTCCATTGGTCACAAGGCGGCACCAGCATGGCCGCGGCCGCAGGGGAGGGGCCTGAGCACAGGCAGGGAGGTGTCCCGCTCTGCACAGGGAGCCTCACCTCAGAGCCTCACACCTGCAGGGGCCAGAGTGGGAGTCCAGGCCCTGGTGGGGGCCCGGGCTGAAGTCAGCGGCTCAGACCTGGCAAAGGTGGCAGGTGTCACAGCTGGACCCACTGAGCCCCCAGCCCCCCGGGCAGTCACCCCGAGGACAGTGGTGTGTGGGGCTGCAGGCTTCTCTCTGCGTCCAGGTGGGCGGGCCCCTGTTTCAGAGCCTCTGCCCTGCCCTGAGCTTCCCCCGGCTCCGATCTTGATAGAGATCTTATGTATCAAGTGTGGTAACTTTTCTTGTCCTAACTCGAAAAGCTGACGCGCGCACAGAGTGGTTTATTTCTGCTGCGTCCTCCCACTTGCGGCTGGTGTGAGGGTAGAAAACAGGTCTGCCCCTGACAAAGCCCACTGTGGGGGCGGGGACCACCCGAGGCAGCCTCAGCGCACGAACTGTGCGCTTCAGAGGGAAAATCTGGATGGAGATCAGGGTCAGCGCCGCCCCGGTGCCCTGCCCCGCCAGCGTGGACACGCGGTTTGTTCAGCGGGCACCCCTGCCGACCTGGCTGACCCCTGCCCTTCCCCCTGCAGTGGTCCGCGGCGCCATCCAGGACGTCACCCACGAACCTGAGCGGCAGGAGTCGGCCATCCACCTGCACGTGAGCCGGATCTACCGGCAGAAGAGCAGGGTCTTCCAGCCCGCGCCCGGGGGCGGCTGGCGCGGGCGCATCTCCACGCTGCTGGAGTGCGGCGTGCGGCCGGGGCGCGGCGAGTTCCTCTTCACTGGACACATGCACTTTGGGGAGGCTCGGCTCGGCTGCGCCCCGCGCCTTGAGGACTTCCAGAGGATGTACAGGGACGCCGAGGAGAGGGGGCTGAACCCCTGCGAGATAGGCGTGGAGTGACTGTGGGGTGCCCCGATCTGGGTGGACGCCCCGCGCTCACAGGGAGGCTGACGCACGAGGTTCCGCCGAGGAGTCCCCTTCGGGTTGATTGGAAATGCTGTAAAATGCAAACTAAGTTATTATATTTTTTTTAAAAAAGAAATGTCCAGAGGAAACAAACTCCAGTGCCTTTGTGTGCCATTTCATGTTGATTTTCAGAAACATCCAAAGTCGCTGCATTTGGCTGGTGTGTTTGGGTGAAGTGCTGGCCGTAGCCCCTTGCGAACCCCAGCACCAGGCTGTGTGCAGTTATTTCTTACGATGGAGATTTATGGAGCCAAACACTTGTTTTTTTCATTTTGTTTTTGCTTTTTAAAGGCTGCTCGGCCATCCGTGCTCATCTGGGGCTGCGGGCGGCCTCCTCCCAGGGAATGAGCAGCAGCCGGATGGCGTGTCAGCAGCGGCTGGTGTGGGGAGCGAGCTGGGCACCGTCTGGGGCTGCTAGGAGCCCGAGCCCTGGTGTCAGGGTTTCACGTGGCCCCTCCAAGTGCCCTGTGACTACACTCAGGATGGCCTCGGCCAGATGCCCCCTCCTCCTTCCTGTTAACCCAGATCCTGCCCTTTGACCCCAACTTCTCCCAAATGCTCAAACCCACAGCAAGTCTTTGGACACCCAGGGGCCAGTCTGCACCGGGATTAGCGACCATGTCCTCAAGAATGAGTTAGTGTCCAGTGGCTGCCATAAGTGACCACACTGGGGGCTTCAGCAGTGCACCCTCTGGTGCCAGGCGGCTCTCGCTCCCTCCGAAGCTCTAGGCAGGAGCCTACCTGTCTCTTCCAGCTTCCAGGGCGGCCAACAGTCCTCGGCTTGTGGACACCTCTTTCCAACCTCGCCTCGCTGTCACAGGGTCTTCTCTGCATCCTGTGTCTGAATCCCCCTCCTCGTACAAAGACACCAGTCACGGGTAAGGGCCCACTCAGTAACCTCAACTCAATCACATGTGCAAAAACCTTCCCAGATGAGTTCACACTCACAGTTTCTGGGTAGATAGGAATTTTGGGGGACACCGTTTACCCCAGTACAGGGTCACTGGGGTGTCAAGTAATCAGACCTGGTCCCATATCCTCAGCTATGAATCAGGTGATTTCTCAGCAGCCGTTGAGACTGAAGGGCAACCTGGGAGAAGCCCACCAGGGTCATGCCAGCTGCCCTGAAGACTCAGGCGGGCTCTGAGTGCCGGCTCAGGTGTGCTCTGGCACAGGTGTGAGCCAACATGTGCACAGGCTCACATGGATACAGATACAGACAGGTGTGCCTCGGTCAGGCGTGAGCCAGCTCAGCTGAACCCTGGCTCAGGTGTGCTCTGGCACAGGTCTGAGCTCCTGCAGGTTGCAACAAGAAGCAGGTGCTCAACACCTGTACCACAGAAACAGGGCAGTGACCTGAAGCAACTGGTCGGTGGCAGGAGCAGGTCCTGCCCTGGCTAGTGACCCATGAGGTATGCCAGGAGGATGAATGTGGCAGCTGCAGGTGTGCCCGGCCACCACATGCTGGGACAACTGACCTGCTCCGGCTGCACTGGCGTTTTCTGTGCTGGCTCCGCCCCGCTGGCTGACACCAGAGGCCTGCAGGGCAGCAGAGGCTGCAGAACCAGAATGTCGGGTTTCGGTTTCGGGTTTTGGGCGGGTGTTTCTCCTGACTTCAGTGCAGGGATGAGGGGTCTGGCCCATGACGAGTGTCAGGTGTGCAGCAGCATCCCCTCCCTGGGAGACGGTCTCCGGGGGACACAGGTGAGGAAGTGTCCGTCTTTGCCTGGGCTGAGGGGAGGAAGGGGCTTGATGCGGGGTCCAGCCCTGCAAGTGGGTGCCTGGGACACGAGCCTCAGTCTCCTGGGTCTGTGCCCAGCACAACACCCCCAGGGCAGTCCGGGCTGCTCGTATGGGGCGAGGCTGGCAGGGCCTCCATTACAGAGGGAGCACAGAGCCCTACGCTGCTGCCCAGAGCCTCATGTGGACATCTGAGGCCACTTCATACCCCAGCCCTCTCACGTCCATCCTCATGGAAGCCCCCACACGGTGGAGCCCTGAGGGGCAGGTGAGGCCCCTTGGGGGTCTCCAGAGCGTCCATCTTCTGACCAGTGGCTCTGCCCTTCCGACTTGGTTCCAGTCAGCCAGTCACTTTGGGATGGACCTTTCTGTGGCTCCATAAAGAGGTTGAAGTGGGGGCCTGTAGAGCTCCCAAGTCCTGGCCAGTGTGCGCCAGATCCCGCTTCTCCTGCCCAGCCGCACCCCCTCCCCGCGTCCCTCCTTCCTCCACCTCGGAGTCCCTCCTGCCGGAAGCCACAGGCCCAGGCCTCCCCAGCAGGGCAGTTTCCCTGCTCCCTCTTCCTTCCCTGCTAGACTGGGGGGGATGAGACCTCACAGGTGTCATCTCTGTGCAGTTCCCTAGCTCACTGCAGGTCCCAGACAGCACAGGTGGGCCGAGTCCCAAGCACAGTCCCTGAGCCCCTCCCCCTGACACGGGAGCCCTGGAGGCCTTCTTAACACATGCTGGTGGAAGGAGCCTGTCTTGGGCCTGTCTGATGACATCAATGAGGAAAAACACTTTCTGAGCTCCCTGGAGCCTGTGGCACTGTAGGCAGCCCCCTCCTCTGTGTAATGACCCCCTCCTGTGTTGAGGGGACGCCCAGGTGCTTTCTCTTCCTCTGCACTCTCTGCCCCCACCCACGGACACGTGGGGCAGGACCCTGGCCCTGGCCCTCTCCTACTGGGTAGGACACCCTGAGGGCTCAGGACCCTGCACCCTCATGCTCAGGGTCTCCCCCACAACCCCCCTCACCCCGGCCTGACCCCCTGAGGAGTCAGACTGACCCTGTGGCCTCTAGCTGGGGGCGTCTCCTAATACCCTGGGCCTTGTTTCCTGCATTGTGGTACCTTCCTGGAGGAGCTGGGGTGAGACGGACCACAGGTGTGGGGTGCATGTATTCGAGTGGGGTCTGGCTGGAGTCCGAACCCACCTGTGTGGCCAAGTGGGACCCAGGGAACTTCGAGACTGCGTGAGGGTGTTCCTGTCCTGGCTTCTGGTACGAGCCGCCCACCCGGGGGTGCCCTGCTTTTTTTTGCTGGGGAGGAATTGGGGCCTTGAGTCAGCCTCTCATGGGGCTGTGCTCCAGCACTGGGACCCCTGGGGAGCCCAGCCACCCCGATGTGACTCATCCTGGTGTGAGGTGGGTCTGGGTGGAGTGGGGGCGAGTGCGAGGTGCAATTTGAGCCTTGAAGACTGAGCTCAGGGCTGGTTTCTGGGAGGAGAAGACATGCCTCAGAGGCCTGGGGGAGGGGTGGGCGGCGGGGGAAAGGGAGCCCCCCTCCTCCCCATCAGCACTGAGAACACAGCTCGGCTGAGGAACAGGGTCCCCTGTTGACAGCCTGTGTTTCTGTGATTCCTGCCCAGTAGCCATGTTTCCATGTCCATAGCTGTCATCTGATTCTGTCCTGTGTCCGCGACGTATCACCTGCGATTACGTTACTTCACGTGGGAAGGGGAATGGAAGTCGCTTCAATGGGGAGAGTATTCTGGATCCTCTGGTGGCTTAATGTCATCACAGGGCCCTTAGAAGTAAAAGCAGGAGGAAGACAGAGAGGACCTGCGGTGGAGAGAGGGGCCCCAAACCAAGGGACACGGCCTCCAGGAGTCAAAGGCAAGAAGCAGATTCTCCCCGGAGCCTCCAGAGGGAACCAGCCCTGTGACACCTTGGTTTCGGCCAGTGTGACTGTGTCGGGCCTCAGGCCTCACGAGCTGTGCGCGATACACTGCCGTGCTCAGCTGCAACAGGTTTGTGGGAGAGGGACACCCCAATGCACTCACTTACCCGGGGTTGAGGGGCTCGGCAGGGTCCCCGGGTGGCACTGGGTGCTGGTGAATTACCCTAAAGTGGGTAAATTGCTGTTACATGTCGACATGCATTTTTAGAAACAAGCTCATAACTTGTATCTGAATCTCAAAGTTAGGAACAGGACTCCAGTCATATAGGTGGGGACTGCAGGGCAGGTCTCAGATGTGTAAGGAACGGAGCTCCTTCCCCACCTCTCTGTCTCGTCTCTCCCAGTCTCTCCCAGTGTCTGTCCCTCTTCGGGCCCCTCCCCTACTCAAGTGTATTTTTTCCTCTTCTCTCTGCTGACTAATTGTCACACTGTATATCCTGCTGCCTTCCGTGGCTTCCGGAACTGCTGGACGCTCCCGCCCACACCTGGGCTCACCTGTCCTGAGTCAACCTCTCGATCCAGACAGCGAGGGGGGCCCTCCTCTGGTGTTTACCATCCGGATGGTGCCGACCCAATTCAGCGACCCCCCACTAGACCACCTGCGGTTCCTCTCCACCCAGTGCCCTGGACCCTTTTCCTCAAGGGCGGCCCCTTTGGAGCCCTGCATGTGCTGAAGTGCTCCTGAGCCTTCTCCCTGCTCTGGTCTCCAGGACTCTCCCCAGACCGGTAGGCCTCCCGCAGCCCAGTCCCCTTCCTCTCAGGTCGGATAAAGGACCTTGCTTGTCACCTGGAGGTCCCCCGCCCACCCAGTGTTTCAGCCACACCCAGCCTGCTGGGGACTCCACTTACCTGCACAGCTGACAAATGCACATGTACTCTATATATGTATACCACTCATGTGCACACACATGTGCTCACACATGCGCACACACATATGTGGCTGTCACATGTACCCACACTCACATAGGCATAGTGCTTGCACACATGACAACCTGCATGTACATATCCATACATGTGCACACAGTGCTTACACACATAAATGCACCCTTGCACATGCACGCACACATGTAGACTTGTACTCACAAATGCTCATGCAACATGCGTGCATGGTGTACTTGTGTATGCACACACAGATATGTACGCACACATCTACATGTGTGCATACATGCACTCATACTGACCCTGACCCTGGCCTTCCCCTGGACAGAGTAGGAGGAGGCTCCTGATCCGAGTCTCTGCAGGATGGACCCTGCACTAATGCTTTCAGAATGAGCGGGCCCTATCCACAGAGAGACACTGCAGCATGGGGTCGGTGCTTGCGGCTGTGTGTGTGTGTGTGTGTGTATATGTGTGGGTGTGCATGCATGTGCAAGGCTGAGGGATGTTGGGGAGGGAGGGAGTCTTGTGCC